TTTTTAAAAATGACATATAGTAAATCTAGTTAATATCCATCACCACATAGTTAAAATTTTTTAGTGATGGTAACTTCTAAGATCTGCTCTCTTACAACTTTCAAATATACAATACAGTATTATTAACTATAGTCATCGTGCTGTACATTACATCCCCATCACTTATTTATTGTATAACTAGAACTTTGTGGCTTTTGACCACCTTCACCCATTTTGCCCACCTTGACTCTCTGCCTCTGTCAACCACCAGTCTGTTCTCTGTATCTGTGAGCTCAGTTTTTGTTTTTGTTTTTTATGTTCCACATGTAAGCAAAATTGTATGGCATTTGTCTTTCTCCATCTGACTTATTTCCCTTAGCATAATTTCCTCAGGGGCCATTGGTGTTGCAAATGGCAAGATTTCCTTTTTTTTATGGCTGAATAAAAGTCTGTTGTATATTTATTCAATTTCTTTAGTTGGATTGTTCAGGTTATCAGTTTCATCTTGGGGGAGTTTTGGTAATTTGTGGTTTTAGAGGAAATGCTCCATTTTATCGAAGTTGTCAAATTTCTGTGCATAGATTATTCCGAGTTTCTCCTTATTATTAATTTAATTCCTGGGGGGGTGGATTTCTGCAGTGATATCCCTGCTTTCCTTCCTGACATTGGTAAGTCCTGTCTTCTCTCCTTTTGTGCATGTCATTCTTCCTAGAAGTTTATCAATGGTATTGACTTTTTCAAAGGCAAGCTTTCAGTTTCATTGATTTTTCCCTATTGTTTTTGTTTCTACTTTTAATGATTATTGCTCCTATTATTGTTTCATTCCTTCTGCTTGCTTTTGGTTTATCTTGCTCTTGTTCTCTGGATTTTTTATGGCAGAAGCTTGGATTACTGAGTTGAGATGATTCTTTTTTTTCCTAATCTCTAAATTTTATGTTACAAGCATCCAACACATTTTGGTATGTTGTATTTTTATTTTTGTCCAGTTCAAGGTATTTTGTAATTCCCTTTGAGAATTCCTCTCTATGAACTTGCCTTTCTAGTCACTTAGATAACTTGCCATCTGTTCTGTACTTTTTGGTTCTTGGTGGTAATCAAGTGCATTAAATTGAAATATAAGTCATCTCACGATGGATTTTTTGTAGCTTCATTTGTTGTTACGAATAGTAAGGTGATATTAATTCTCATTGCATTATTAAGGATAATTGTAGCTGCCATATATTGAGTGTTTACTATGTCCTAAGCTCTGTGTTGATCAGTTCACATGGTCTCATTAAATTCTCTTAACACACTTTTCAGCGAGGTACTGTTACTACTAGCCCCACTTTATGATTGAGGAAACTGAGACACGTATTTTAAGTCACTTGTCCTGAGTCACTCAACCACAACGTAGTAGATCTGGAAATTGAGTGTAGGTTTGTTGCCAAACCCTGACTTCTTCACCATTATACTACATTTCCTTTCATTGTTTCATTTCTTGCCTTGTCAGTAAGATGTTATGTTCTTGAAGGCAGAAACTATGTCTTATACTGATCTCCTTTTCTCTACAGCACCTGGAACCATGTTAGACACATAGTAATGGATTGATTTATGTTTGTGGAACTCAATTTAATGGCCTGAACTGACCTGAAAGGGAATTAAACCTGTGACATTTGCCATATTGCCGCAGTTTCTTACCAACTAAGCTAATTTAGCTCACTCTCCTGCATAAAAACAAAAAAGCTGACAAAATATTTGTGACAATCACAATGGCCAAGGCTTTGAGCTGTCAAGGAGATGTACAAGTATGACTGACTGAACAGGAGTCCATCTCCAGGTTGTGCTGTTTAGTTCTGGTCTTTAGTCTGTCCTTTTGCTCTCTGTGGACCTCCTGTTCATACTTTGAATTTGTTTCACCGTTTGACTCTCTCACATGATTTCCTTTTTTCCCCTCCCCGCCCTTTACATCTTGAAGATTTAGGCGAACTCCTTACCATTTGTTTATGAAACACATATGTGAGTCTTACTATATACCATGTGCTCTTCTAAGCACTTTATACACGTTAACTCCTTAAAACAGTCCTATGAGTTGGGTACTGTTGTTCCCCTTGTACAGTTGAGGCAACTCCCACAGGACTTTCTAGTGGCCCATTATCCGTTTCCCACACACAATAGAAATCTGAGTGGCAGGCCAGAGGTGGATATAAGTGAAAACAAAAGCCTTTGCCTTTCATATGGCCAGTCACTTCACCTGTTGGGCTGTGCTCAGGGTCTATAGAGGGCAGAGCAGGTATATAATTGAGGGGTAGCTTTGCCCCCAAATGCCCAGGGAGTTCTCTTGCCCTTAGGTGCGACCCTCTCTCTCAATGGGCAGCCCAGAATCTTTTCCTACCTGTCCTGCAGTCTGACTCTCTGTCTGTCTCTCTCTCTCTCACACACACTCACTCATGGAACATGTATAATGTTCATGGTTCAGGTCTTGGATTTAAAGCAGGGTACAGTGGCAAAAGCACAGTCTTGAAACTCAAGCGATTTGTGGTAAGTCATGTAATCACTCAGTGTTTTGATGTTCTCAGCCGTGAAATTAAAGAAGATGATAATGATTATAATAAAAACTGAAGGATAAATCAGATGATGTATTTGAGTACTTAACACAGCGACTGGCATGTAGAAATGCTCTGTACATGTTCAATCCTTTTGTAATTATTGATGTATAAGACCTTGTTAAGTATTAGGGACAATCCACGCTTTGGTATATATAGTAGCTTGTAGAACTGAATTTTGAGGACCCAGCCCAGGCTTGTCTTTATCTGGGAATTTCTTAGTTGTTTGGAATCTGGACCTTGGTTTTATCTTCTTTATTTCTGGCCTTTTGTGGGCCCTTGGGATCAATTCCATCATCCTCATGATGATGATCAACTTATGGCGCCCACCTAGCTAATTGGCTTTGTGTATATGCCAGAATTCTTCTAAGGCCAGTGGCAAAGCCTGGACGAGAGTCCAGCTTTATCTGGACTATTAATGTGATGTTTCTCTTTCCTGGGGTGAATGTTTAGGCTGTGGTTAAACAAGAATACTTACGTCCCGGGCCTCCCACAGGCAGGCCCAGGGACAGAGTTAGGCCAGGCCTGGCATGGCCACTAATGACCCCTGCTCTAGGCACTTGAGGCTCAAACAAGAGTCTTCAGCAGTCAGTTCTCGGAGCATTCTCTCCTTGGTCACCCCCACGAAAGCATATTACACCTAGGCGAGGGGATGGCTAAGGTGGTAGAGAGACCCCTGAAACCCAAAGGGAGGAGACAGGAGCCTCTCTGACTCTCCACCTGAGGTCACATTTGTGAGGGATGGCAGGGGAGGGGGGAAGCTCTGGTATCAGGCAGCAAGAGAGATATAAGAGTTTGGGGTCTCAAGTTAGATAAACCTGGGCTTGAATCTTGGCTCTTCTAGCTTATGTGTGACATGAACCAGGCCACTTTGCTTCTCTGAACTTGGTTGCCTCATCAACAAATGGGAAAAGTAATTGTACCTGTCTCAGAAGATTGATGTAAAAATTGAGCGAGAGAATTTATGCAAAGTAGTTAATTAGATAACTTGCCTAGATGATGCTAAGTGCACATGATCGCCATCCTTTTGGCACTGGTAAAAATGAGCAATAGTAATAAACAGACTGTGGGAAATGAAAACCATCCTTGGGTCTTCTGTGCAGTTCTTGTTGATCTCCTTGTAATGTCTCTCAGTTTTAGGCACATATCTGTGAGCTTCAAGAGAATACCTAGAGTACTTGAGTGTCTTCAAAGGGCGCCTGGGTGGCTCAGTAGTTAAGTCTCTGCCTTGGGCTCAGGTCATAATCCCAGGGTCCTGGAATCGAGTCCTGCATCGGGCTCCCAGTGGGGAGTCTGCTTCTCCCTCTCCCTCTGCCCCTACCCCCTTCTTGTGCATGTGTGCTCTCCCCGCCTCAAATAAATCTTAAAAAACAAAAAGTATGGACTGCTTTCCCATTCAGGGAGTGTGGAAATCCTGGTATTGCAGTGCTGCTGTGTGTGAGAGAGTGTGAGAGAGTGTGTGAGAGTGTGTGTGTGCATGAAAGAGAGACAGAGAGAGCTGACCTATCAAATCTGCTTTTCTTCAGGAGGAAGACTGTGTGTCATTCTTTTCTTCTCCCTCAGTCGTAAAGGACCCTTTGCCTTGAGTGATGAAAGAAGCTGCTTAAGTCCCTCCTCTGAGCTCTCAGGCAGTTGGTTCCTGGCCTGGTTTTTCTTGAGTTATAAAGGGTTTCTAGCATATGCTTCAACAAGTCTGGTATTAGGAAACGATTATTACCCGATGCTAGAGACCAGTGGTTTTTTTTTTCTTCTTCTCCCTGCCTCCCTCCCCCCGAACTTTTTCTTTTTTGTTTTGCTTTTAAGTCATAAAACCCAGTCTGTAAAATCAATCAAAGCAAGCCTGGAAGCCTGCCACTTCTGCCCTCCCCACCTCCTGCAGCAGCCCTGAGGACATTTCTAAGGAAGTCGGGGACCGCAGTTGACAAAGCACTGGTTTGACTCGCCTTTTCACGCCTGGGACGCTGTTTGGGTGAAAGGATTGGGCCTGGCTGTGTAAACATACAGCCGTGTTACACGAAACAGGTATCCCAGGACTGTACTTGAATCATAGGGCCCTCACTTGGTGGAGCCTGTCTTTTCATCTCTTGCCTGAGCTGCAGTGGCCGAAGCTGCTGCTGGCGGCCCACTGGACATTTAGGGAGCGCGCAGCTCATTCTGTAATCGAGCGTTGTAGCCCAAGTACGTTCAGGGAGCATCTGGGGGATTTTTGAGGCAGCGCTCAGAACATTTCATTAGCGTGGAATAGGCCGCTTGAAATTGACTCTGCGTGTGCGCCAGCTCTAGGGCCGTTCTTACGCCGAGAGTGTACTTGTTTACATGCCCTCCCGTATGGCAGGGCATAACGTGGCACATTTTTGCCTGCCTGTGCAAGAGAGTCAGAGTGTGACCTGGACTTTAACGTTGTTTTTTTTTTTTTTTTTCTCTTTTCTCCCCCTCCAGGCTCCAGATGCACATGCTGAATGGAGCACTTCTGGCTCTGGTGTTTCCTGTGGTAAATACCCGGCTGGTGAGTAGCGTCTTGTAAGAATGTACTGCCAACCTACAAACCGATGGTTTGCTCCCTCCTTCCTTATCCAGGGCTTGCCCTTGGCCTGGGCTCACGTACCCATGTGAGCTTTAAAATACATGTGTATTTACTACTGCACTTTGACATCGCCCTTCTTGGGTGCAGGGGAGCTTGATAGGTAGGTGTGGGAGTGTCTGGTGGAACTCTGGGGCTGTGTTAAATGTTCAGGCCAGAACGAGGAGAGACTGAAAAAGCCTACAGGAGCTCTTGAGAGGTTTGGTGGAGAGAAGGGGGGCTGGGAGCCCCACTCATTAGAGGTTTCCAGATGTTCTAAGGGGCTCTAGTTTGGACTCAGCCACATTGGCCCAGAATAATCCGACGGGGAGACTCAAAGCCTGTCTGCTTTGCCAAGGGCCCTGTTGGGCAAGAATTAGTTTCTTTCCCCATTTAGCCAAACCCAAAGGGTGGGCTGGGTCACCCCATACCCAGTGGCTAGCCTGTAGAATCCCGCTGTAGCCAGGGGCTGGGTGTTAAGCGTACATAGAAACAAGAGGGAGCTATAGGGCTAGGGTGGCAGGGCCCTGTCCTTAGACTTCCTCATGTGGGACTGTGGAGGGATTAGCCAGCCATGTTAGAAAGCACAGGGAAAGAAATCACCTGTAAAATCCTTCCTACTGCTTTCTAATTTCATGGCTTAAATTTGCCTCATGCATTAAAAGATCATAGTTTAAATCTCAAAATGATAATCCTTCCTCTTTGGATAGCATTTTCTAGTTTACAGGGTTTTTTCATATGACAGCTGTGTGAGGTAGGTAAAGGCAAGCATTATGGCCTCTTGTTACAGAGAAAGACACTGATGCTCAGAACTTAGACAAGTTCTAAGTGGCAGAGTTAGGAGTGGAGAAGCCTCTAGGCCCTATAAGCACAGATATACTTTGCTTCCTCCAAAGATGTAGTCACACCCTCCCCACAAATATTCATATATACCCCTATGACTGTTGTATGTTTCTAGGTGCATATTGTACATCAGTAGAAATTAAAAGAAGAAACATTCATCTAAAGCAGTGATTTTGAACCCAGGCTCAAAATTTTGCCTTCAGCTCATGTAGGGGTGCTTCAAACCAAACCAAACCAAACAAAACAAAACCAAACCAAAAGATGAACACAACAATGAAAAACAGACCTAAAGTACTGACACCCTGGCCCCTCCCTTTGAGTGTCTGAGTTCTTAATCTGTGACACAGCCTCGGCATAGTGTTTTTGAAAAGTGTTTCTAATGTGGAGCTGAGGACCACCGATTTTGAGCAATGGCTCTGAAACTTAGTCTGTCCATAGCAGTCACCCGAGGAAATGGCTGAGAAATGAGGCTTGCCAGACCTCATCCCTAGAAGGTCAGATTAAGAGGATCTGGGATGATACCAGGAAATGAGCACTGGTAGTAAGTCCCCAAGTAATGTTGACTGCTGGGGTCCTCGGACCACTCTTGGAGAATCAGCATCCTAGGTTATTCCAAGTGTGGAATTCCAGTTGAGGTCTGAAGACCAGCAACACGCAGGTGCTCCCTGTTAGAAAGGCAGAATTTTCAGCCCCACCTCCAACCTGCTGCATGGGAATCTACATTTTAACAGGTGTTTTAGAGGGCCTCCCCCTCTTTCTTCCAAAGAGCATCTTTGTGTAGGACACAGTAGGACCTCCTGAGGAGGGTAACAACAGGGTGGGAGAGGGGCAGGTGGGATCGTTTCTGTCATGAGAGGCTAGCACACTCAGCCCAGTGTTCCCCGTGAGCTGGGACCAGCAGGCACAGGCTGCTAACTTAGCTACCTTTGCTCCGCCTTCTGTATTCCCCACAATCTATGACTTGCCTGACTTCATCCGAGTCTTTCAGCAGAACTCCTGCCGTGGTCTCAGAGCTGTGGGGGAGAGGTACCCAAGAATGGCGCAAAGCAAACACACTGAAAACAGATTCTTCCCTGGCTCAGGGACGTGGAACAGTGCTGGAGGTGGGGTCTGCTCCCTGCCTGTGGAGGTCCCGGGCTAAGGCACCACGGAGGATCCCACGATATCTTATCCCATCTGTCCATTCACCCTGTCACTGTTTTCTCCAATGAAGAGGTAGGGCAGAGAAAAAGCTGCTCTCCTTCTTCAGTTTCAGCAGCTCTGTCAGATTCTAGGAAGGGGTGGCGCACCAGAAAACGCCCCCTCTCCATGCCCTGGGCTCATATAGTCAGTGGCCCTGAGTCTGAGAGCTTCCAGCCCATAGCTTTGATCCATCTCCACCATCACTGGAGGCCGGTGTGGTTCCTCTAAACAGGTCACCTGCGTCTCTCTTCCTAGTGGGACCTTCTCCCTAAGGAAAGCCAGATAGTCTTTTCCTTGCAGAACCACTGAGCATCAGCAGACTTGATGATTCCCATTGTGCAAGCTTGAAAATAAAGACACCCCCCCTCCCCCCTCGAGAGCTCCTTCAGACACCTGAAGTCAGAACAGCAGTGGTGAAGTTTTCCTTCAGCTGGTATTGTCACACCACAGTGGCCTGTCTGCTCTGGGCCAGCTGACACTTTCAGAGCATTTACCGTGACTCTGGTAGTGCTCTATGTGGGCTAATGTATTTGATCCTCACAATAAACTTCTGAGGCAAGGCACTGATAGTTATCCCCAAGGTCAAGGTGCTGGCAGGGTTGGTTTTCTCTGAAGCCTCTCTCCTTGGCTTGTGGATGGCCGCCATCTTGATGCCTTTTCACGTGGTCTTTTCTCTCTGCATTCACATCCCTTGTACCTTTCTGTGTGTCCAAATTTTCTCCCTTTATGAGGGTGCCAGTCAGATTGGATTAGGGCCACCTAATGGCCTCCTTTTAACTTAGTCACTTCTTTAAAGGAGGTATTTCCAAATATAGTCACATTCTGAGATTAGGCCTTCAACATACGAATTTTGGTGGGGACATAATTCAGCCCCTAACGGCTTTCTACTCTGTACAAAAAGCAATGTTTCTCTCTCCTCCCTGCTCGCCCTTCTTTCTCTTTCTCCCTCTCCCCTTCTTCCCCTTTCTCATGGCAGATTTGCTATTATAGTTGCTGTAACACCTAGTACTTTCTAATTACATATCAAGCTATAGCCAGCCAGCTCATCAGGAATGTTCAAGTAACTTTCTTTAACACTGAAACTTCCTTGATGAGCTTAATGAGTGATTCCAATCACTCTGGTAAATAATCTTGTTGCCCTTTTTTCTAAACTGAAGCTGAGAAGAGCTCAGAGTTAGGGCTCTGTTTGCAAGTGTCTTGTCAGCTGGTGTTGGTTATTTTAAATGGTTGGGACCTCTCCTGGGCTACCTCTGGCCATTAGGACTTTCTGCTTTGCAACCCCTTAGCTGAGCTCAGATTGACTTAAAACAAGACACAGGAAGCAGGCAACTCTTTTTTTTTTAAGATTTTATTTATTTATTTGGCAGAGAGAAAGATCACAAGTAGGCGGGGGGGGGGGGGGGGGGCTCCCTGCTGAGCAGAGAGCCCAATGCAGGGCTAGATCCCAGGACCCTGAGATCATGACCTGAGCCAAAGGCAAGGGCTTAACCACTGAGCCACCCAGGTGTTCCAGGCAACTCTTTTTTAAGCCTGATGATCCAATTAGGTAAGAACTTAGCTTTTGACTTCTCTTTGCTCTTTCTTCTTGACCCTTTCTTTTTAATCTTCTTTTGTTGTTTTTCTGAGTAGTTATATGGAAGCAAGGAAAAGACAGTGAGCTAGTGTGTACCTCAGTAACACAGTCAAACATATACATATACATATATAAGGACAGAGAAGGAGGGAGTTCCAAGAAGTTGCCATGGTCAGCTGAAGGATTTGGGGTCATCAGTGCATTTCCATTTGCTGAGCTCTGTCCTGTGCCTTACGGGCTCTGGGATTTGCAGACCAGCTAGAGAATGCCTGGGTTCCAGTTTCTCCTGGCTCTCCGTCCTAGCAGCTGACACCTTGGAGGAAGGAACAAGTATTCCAACGGCTCATATTACAAGGAAATGGTCTTTGCTGCCGGGATTGTGGAGTGGGTCTGTTTCTGGCTTCTGATGAAGTGTCTTAAGGGCAATTTTTGTTTTGCTTCTTAGAGGGAAGGAGAGGAAATGCATCATGGAACTATTGATTATTATATTACCAGGGAGCTAAAGGCTTGTCTGATCTCATCTTACCTTCTAGGGGGGGTCCTTCAATGGGTTAATGCCTTGCCTTAGGAGCCAAGGTAGGTGCCTCTAAAATCCAGCTCTTCTGACTCACATGACTTCAGAGCTCTTTTCCTATTCTATGATTGCAGTTCAGGGCGAGTTTGAAAGCTGGTGAGTCCAGATGCTGGTGATGCTTCTTAGCTTCAGTCCACCTAAAAGAGTTGGGCGGTAAGTTTCTTTGAGAAGCTGAAGAATACCGTAGAGCCTCTTTCCCAGATAAATGCACAAACACGGTTTTGCAGGTAATTTCAGGAGACTGTCACCTGCTGTTCCTCCACACCCTTACCCCCCACTGCCGACCCCTAGCCCATCCGTGGAGCCCATGTTAAGATCCCCCACCCAAGCTGGCAGTAGTCCATGGTTTGAAGAACAGATGCTGCGTAGTTTATGAGCTCCTTGTTATAGCCATTGGGTTTGCAGCTGGTGTTGAGGCTGGGTTCCTTACCTATTGCCTGTAACTTAACAGAACGTGTCTCTTCAAGACCAAAACACCTTCTGGAAAGTGAAAGCCAAGAGGTGGGAGCTAAGTAGGGCGCCCATGGAACCTGGTTACATATTAGATTTTCAGTTCCATCTCGTACCTTGCAAGGTTGATCTGGTCTTCAGAGTGAGGCACTGGGCAGAAGCTGCATCCCCAGCCCTGTGCCTTTTGTCCTCAAATGCCCACAAGAGTCCCTTCAGAATGCAGAGTGTTCTGAGCAAGGGGGAGTGGAAATAGAAAACGAACTTCCAAAACACTGTATCAGCCCCCTTTCCTGACTGAAGACTGTAGCCCAGCCTCCATTTGCG